AGCTCTGGATAATGTAACGTCGAAGAGGCAGGCTTCTAAAAGTGGGTTTACTTCGTCCAGTGAAGAGGGTGAATCTGAGGAGGAGGAGGAGGAGGAAAAAAAGTTAAAGGTTTTCTTCTGTAGTCGAACTCATTCACAGCTATCACAGTTCATAAAGGAATTAAGGAAAACAGTCTTTGCTAATGAGATGGACGTTGTTTGTTTGGGCTCCAGGAAAAATCTTTGCATTAACGAAGGTCAGACATTTTCCCCTTAAGCAAGCAGGTTTATTTTCTTTTTCTAAGGCCGCGTTGGCTAATCAAAATTTCTAGATTTTTAGTAATTATCTTGCTGCTTGTTTCCAGAAGTACTAAAACTTGGAAACTCTACACGCATGAATGAGCGGTGCTTGGAACTCCAGAAGAAAAAGAAAAATGAACCAGCAAAAATTAAGGTGCGTGAGTTCAAGTTATTATGGCTATCCTTTGGAAAATGATATATACAACTTTTGAGTTGAGAAAGGTTATCGTGTTTGTTTAATTCTAATTGTTTCTCTATCTTATAGAATAATACCACATGCCTTTTGAAAGAATCATCTAAAGATGCCATGCAAAATTGTAGAATATTATGTGCTTGTGGATGCATGATTTTTACATTTTGCAGGAAAATAAATCCTAATTCGGAAGTTTGTTGGAGCAATGGAGGATACGATTTGGTGAACGTAGAATAATCTAAGCTTCAATTTATTTAACACGTCTATCTGCTCTGCCAAAATACCAAGAAAAAAGTGTCTATTTGGATAATTGAATACTAATCCACTATTCCACTGTTATTCAATGCTTGTATGCTAAATGTTTCTAACTTTGCAGCAAACTATCCTGCTTACTAGCAAGTTGGAACAAGCACTTTTGCAATTATATAAATAATAGTGATTATATAGACTACTTTGTCTCCCTGGACTTTGGCTTCCCACGAATAATAATGACTCTGATTTTCAGAACTTTAGAGCATGTACAAGAGTACGGAGAACAAAGGCATTGTCTGGCTGCCCAATGCTAAGAAAGCATAGATTACAAAGAGAATTCATGAATGAGGTATCTCAGAGAGGGGCCTTGGATATTGAAGATCTTGCTAACTTGGGAAGAAATTTGGGAACTTGTCCTTATTATGGTTCTAGAAGCATGGTTTTGAGAGCTGATCTTGTGGTTCTACCATATCAGTCTCTTCTGTCAAAATCATCTCGTGAAGCACTTGGTTTAAATTTGAAATCCAATGTTGTCATTATAGATGAAGCTCATAATTTAGCTGATTCACTCATTAGCATGTATGACTCCAGAATTACTTTAGCACAGGTGTGTTAGCCATTACTCTACCTTGATTGAAGTATTGCAAACATCTATCTTTCAAGAGCTAGTTTAATCTTGATATTTGAATTTGCATATGCCATTTTGAGATGCTTTAAATTGGTGCGGACGCCATCAAACAATGAGATATCAATGTCTTGGAGACAGTCAATATGCATTTAGTGTAAATTTATTGGTACACCTCATTCATATTAATTTGTTCTTCGTTAAACATCTACACTTTTAATATGCAGTGTCGATGTCTCTGTTGACTATAAGATGATTCTTCTTTTTCTTCAGCTGGAAAATGTACATTCCCATTTGGAGAGATACTTTGACAGATTCCGTAATCTTCTGGGACCTGGTAACCGGAGATATATTCAAACTATAATGGTCCTCACTCGAGCTTTCCTCCGAGTGCTAATCAATGAGAAGGATTCAAACCTCATAAATTCTTGCCAAGATATAGAAAAGGCTTTTCAGGATAGTAGGGCCTCTGAATTTACCATGTCCGTCAATGATTTTATCTTTGAACTAAATGTAGACAATGTCAACTTGATTAACTTGGTGAAGTATATCAAGGAAAGCAAAATCATGCACAAGGTGAGTCTTGCTGCTGTATATATACATTAATGCACTGTCTTCTAATTAAATTCCTCATGGTGCTTCTTGATTTCCTGGTTTTGTCATTTTGATGTCCAAATGTAATTTATTTTCCAGGTTTCTAGTTACGGAGAAAAGGTAGCCAACTTGGAGAAGATTTCAGTTACCACTAAAATTGGAGAACGTTATGAAGATGGAAGCACTCAGTCTGCATTCCAGGCATTAGCTGACGTATTGCTATCACTGACAAACAATGACAATGATGGAAGGATAATCATTTCCAGGTCTAGAACAACGAGCCCTGGGAAACAAGGATATATTAAATATGTTATGCTCAGTGGAGAGAAGATATTTTCTGAGGTTTGCCTGATGCTGTTGTCTTAATTTCTGAGAAATCCGAGCTTAGGTTTCCTGTCTCAATAGATAATATCATGAAAAGATAATTAACTCTTAATCTTTCCCTAGATTGTGGACCAAGCACACGCTGTTCTTTTAGTAGGGGGAACTCTACAACCTACTGAAGAAACACGAGAGCGACTCTTTCCGTGGTTGCCACCAAACCAGTTGCATTTCTTTTCATGCGGTCATATTGTACCCCCACAGAGTATTATGCCAATTGCAGTCTCCCGTGGCCCTTCTGGCCGCTCCTTTGATTTTAGCTACAGCTCAAGGAGCTCACCTGATACTGTGAGTAAAAGTCAGTCCTGATCTGCCGATGTTTTGGTTTGAAGTGCGAGTTCTTCTAATGGTTGTGATTATAGCGATTGGCTGATGAATAGTGTTCTATGTGAATTGCTATTCTCTATTTTACTTCCTGAAGTATTGATTATGATGTATTGTGTGCTTTACAGATGCGGGAGCTTGGTCTTCTCCTCTGTAATTTGGTGACCATAGTTCCTGAAGGAATTGTTGTTTTCTTCTCATCTTTTGATTACGAAGCGAAAGTCTATGAAGCCTGGGAATCTTCTGGCATCCTGGATAGAATTACGAAGAGGAAGCGTATATTTAGAGAGCCTAGAAACAATACAGATATTGAATCTGTTCTTAAAGATTACAAAGAAACAGTTTACCCATCTTCGAGTATAGATCCGAGTGGAAACCCAGCATCGCAAAGCGGTGCAGTCCTCCTGGCCGTTGTTGGTGGAAAGATATCTGAAGGGATTAACTTAAGTGATGGGATGGGGCGGTGCATAGTCATGGTTGGACTGCCGTATCCTAGTCCATCTGACATTGAGTTGCTAGAGAGGATAAAGCACGTCGAAGGTTTTCGAAATTCAAACCCCATTGAAACTTCTACGTTTTCCGCCAGTTATAATGTTTATAGTGGAGATATACAAGGCGGTTTCGGTATCTTAAGAAGTTGCAGTCACAGAGGAAAGGAATATTATGAGAATCTCTGCATGAAAGCTGTAAATCAATCAATAGGTGCGTATACGTTCATATCTTTTAAGACTTTCTTCAAGCTCACAAGGGTGTGTTAGGAGTCACATTGGGGTGGAGCCAAAACCACATTTCGGTGAAAGCAACCTGTAGGTTGATTCCATCGAAAGTTCAAAACCATGTCCTAGCTTCTAAAGGTGTACATTGGGTGTTTGGTAATCTGCTTTACAAGATAAAATTTTTCGCACATATTTACTTGGTAGGTGTTTAGATGAGCTTATTGTAAGTTATCTTGCAATATATAAAATAGATATATGAGATCAGATTTGTCTTGTAAAATGTAAAAAAAAAATTATTTAATAGACTCTTTTGTTTCGCAAACACTAAGGTGCAAAATCACTTATAAGCTAAATCAAATAGCTTAATATATCTGACCTGCAGGATGGTGCAACTATGAAATTTTCCAGTCACTGACATCTGTGTGTTTATTGTTTTAGGGAGAGCAATCCGTCACATTAATGACTACGCAGCAATTTTGCTGGTTGATGCGAGGTACGCATCTGATCCCTCAAAGAGGAGTTTTTCTTATGCAGTCAACAAGCTCCCACAGTGGATAAAGGATCGATTGGTTTCGTCTACCAGTAACTACGGTGAAGTCCATAGGTTGCTGCATCAGTTTTTTAAATTGAACACAAGGGTTTGTCAAAAGGATGTGTAAATACATGCAGGGCTTACCAAGCCGAAGAGACAGAATTCAGTATTTGTACTCACACAAGCAGATCCTAAGGAAAATTAAATTTGATCCAATATAGTGTGTAATTATTTAAAATAATCAATATTATTTGTTATATCATACCACAAATATCATGATTTTTTTTTTTTTTGACCAGCATACCACAAATATCATGATGGTTGAAGAAGAGCATTCAGCTATCATTTTTACTCATTTTATAAGGTGATGATACTTAGTGTCTCTAGTGGCATGTTTGGAAATATATCCGTTGTAATCAAAAGGGAAAACTTTGTTTTTTGTAGAACCAAACTATTCAAATACATTCTTAGACAAACCAACTAAAGTTTGAATTTTCATTGAATTGGAAATAACATCTTATTTTTAAAATATTATTATTAAATTATAAGCTCACAGAGAAAATAAAAGACGTAATAATGTATGATCGAAGTTGAAGAATATATATAAAAAAAATTTGATTAAAGTGTCTCAGAAAAATAACGAAAAAAAATACTTATTAAAGCTTTTTTAAAAATAAATAAGTCATGCTTTGTAATAGTTTTGACATGTTAAAATCATCTACTCTTCCGGTTCTTAATATAGGACCCAATTCTTGTATTGGTTTTGGTTCTAAATATAAGACACATTTATCATATTTATCAATTTTCTCTAAATTACCTCTATGATACTCTCTCAACTGTAATCAAGTAGAAGAAGAAGAGGGGTATTAAAAAGATGATTATGGTGTTTTAGGAAAAATGTGTCACTTTTCTTATAATTAACTAACTTACCCAACTTCCTTAATCTAATCAAATTAGTTAAATGGGTCTTATATTAAGGTCCGGAAGAGTATTTATTATTTTAAAATTTAACTGGTATTTTTTTTAATCATTTTCTCAAGTACTGTTTATTCCATTTTCGTGGATAAATATGCATGAGGCGAATAAATTATCTTCGACGAATCCGTCAGCTATTCGTAAACCTATCATTTTGTTATCTCATGTTTGACCATGATCAGGTAAACAATCATCGGACGAGCATTTGGAAGCTATCAGTGAAGGATGTTCAGAAATGCGATTATGGTCTGCGAATGCTGTGAAAGTCCAGAATTAGGGCAAGTTGGCAAAAGAAACTGTGACGGAGGAATCAATTACGCAAATATTCCCCAATCCCCACCATATCTGTCTATCCATACAAACCAAAAGCCTTCTTCTTTGGTCTGATCTCAGAATCGCATCGTCTTGTTCTGATGGAGAACACGACATGGACGCCGAGACTCCACGCCCTAACTCATATACTCACGAGCCCCACCACCTCACCGACCCTCCACTCCCAGTTCTTCATTTCCCGCCAAATTCCATGTTACCTGAATTGGGATTACCCTCCAATTCTTTGTCCTAAACCCTCGATTCTTACCAAATGGAGTCTCTCTCTCTTCTTCCGAAGGCTTTTCGGATTGGGGCCTCCGAAGACCTCGTGGAGGTGTAAGTGCCCGTTTCAGCAGCCTCCGCCATTGACGCTGGCCAAAGGATTGGAGGAAGCGCAGTGGGGAGAACAAGAGAGGAGGGAATATGTGAGGAGAAGGCTTGCCAGGAAGCGCCTCGTCAGAAATGTTAACCCTGTGGTTCCGGTTCTGCTACCTAATCTCTTCCTGCTATTGCTTCTTCTTTGGGATCCATTTCGTTCTGCAGATTAATTACCACTTCCTTTCTGATACTAGATTGAATGCTCCGAACAAAGTGAAATATAAGTTATATTCGGCAATAGCGATATATAATCTTTATTCCTAACTGAGTAGTTCATATGCTGATTATTGGTGCTTGAGGCTAGAAAGCCTAGAATTCAAATTTTGTAACTTTTGCTGGAACATCAATTGTAAAACTAAAAGCCTACATTTATGTTTATTTATTCAGTGGGGCAAGCACTGAAATTATAAGCAGAATCAAATTCCAACATTCATCCGACTACATTGCAGCACTATTAACAAAGCCTACATTTATGTTACTTTGCAGCTTTGCATTCTCTCTCTCTGTTTTTTTTTTTTTAATGTTACTTAAGCTTCAAGCATTATTGGTTCAATTGGCTAGTTCTTCAAGGGGATTTTCTTTTGGGTTAAGGTGCAATTTTAACAACAAAGTTTACCCTAAGGAGCACTGGGCATCATAAAGTTTATTTGGGTGCAAAAATATACATAAAGTTGTCAAAAAAGAGTATCTGGCACCATACCGTTAACGTTCTTCAGTTTACCGTTAAAGGGGCCCAGAAAGTCAGTTTTAAGGTGCATTTTTAACAATAAAGTTTGCATCAAGGGGCATTAGGCACCATGAAATTTACTTGGGTGTAAAAATATAAATGAACTTTGTAAAAGGAAAAAAATAACAAAATTCTTCAACTTCCATAAACATCCATTAATTTTATTCTTTTCGGTCTCACCAAATGTTATATTTTCTCTCTATAAATTTTTACTTCCAAGCCGATCCATCTTTCTCTCATCATAGTCAACACACACACTCTCTGTCATGTCGTTTTCTGAGCCTCTAAGCCTTTTATATGTATTTAAGCAAAACACATCTTTCCCTTCTAGGATATGAGGTTCATTACTTGCACCCAAGTACTACCTCCAGTCTTCAATATAGGATACAATGGACTAATTTGAGGAGATTAAAATAAATAAATAAATTACTTTAAATATCATATTATTTATTTATTTGACGCAATAGCATATAGTACATGATTTTTCTAAAATAGTTATATGCATCATTAAATTATATATTAGTTTACAAGCCAAGAAAATTAATTTGGAGAAAAAACAATAAATATAATATTTTAAAGTAATTTATTTATTTATTTTTAATCTCCTCAAATTAGTCCATTGCATCCTATATTAAGGACTGGATATAGTACTTGGATGCAAGCAATAAACCTCATATCCTAGAAGGGAAAGATGTGTTTTGCTTAAATACATATAAAAGGCTTGGAGGCTAAGAAAATGATATGACAAAGAGAGTATGCGTGTTGACTATGATGAGAGAAAGATGGATCGACTTGGAAGTGAAAATTGATGGAGAGAAAATATAGCATTTGGTGAGACCCAAAAGAATAAAATTAATGGACGTTTATAGAAGTTGAAAAATTTTGTTATTTTTTTTCTTTTACAAAGTTCATGTATATTTTTGCACCCAAGCAAATTTCATGGTGCCTAATGCCCCTTGATGCAAACTTTGTTGTTAAAAATGCACCTTAAAACTGACTTTCTGAGCCCCTCTAACGGTAAACTAACGGACGTTAACGGCATGGTGCCAGATGCTCTCTTTTGGCAACTTCTTGTATATTTTTGCACCCAAATAAATTTTATGGTGCCTAGTGTCCCTTAAGGTAAACTTTGTTGTTAAAATTGTACCTTAACCCTTTTCTTTTTATTGACTAAAGTGTGAAACTATGCCTCACTTAAGGATAAGAGTCCATTTTGCTTCATCTAACTACTGTTAGTTATGTTACATTACTCTATCTGGACTCAAATATAAGTTTTTTTTTAATTATATTTAGTTATAGCTAAATATTGTGTTACGAAATTCAGATCAATTTTTAATTTAACATGCATACAATCATAATTTTTTAAACTGCGTGTTAATACATAATTAATTCCCCCAGTATTAATACAGGGAAACTTCTAGAGTTGATGATACCGTGAAGCATTTATAACATTCATGCTTTTGATACTAGTTCCTGTTACTGATACCCAAGTTGAAGTTGGGGAGACTAGTTATGGTGCAAGTTGCTTGTTGAGAAAACAAGGCAGGTAAAGAAAAGAACTTTTATTGAGCTGACACACCAAGACTTTCTGGCGATGTTTATTCTTGTTCATCGTATAAGGGCCCACGTGGCAGATGCATCTCTTCTTCTATATGCAGGTTGGCTTATTTTGATGATATTTGATCATCACATCTGGCTTGGAGTAGCAGCTTTTATGATTTGTGGATTACGGATGCATGGTGAAGCCATTGGCTTCCTGTTCTTTGATGTGAGAAGTACAAGTATTCAGGAAAAATTGCAATAAGATCTTAAAGAAGAAACATATTCACAAAAAAAGTCTTATAAAAACTAAGCAGCCTGTCATTAAAACTTTTTAGTAATTACTCTTCTAGTATTAAAATACAAAACCTATTTTGTAGTGTAATTTATTTTATAAAATGATCTTATATTTCAGAACGGATGGAGTATCCTCCTTTCCTGGATTCTCACAGTAATTCTCTTAAGTATTTATTGCCACCCTCCTAGATGCAGATTAATTGAGCTAAATGTCCCTTTTTTTTTTGGGAATTACAAAAAAAATTGTTGTTCATGGGTAAGGCAGAATTACTAAATACACCGTAGCAGCTAATCTTGGCATCCAAGTTTAAATATATTGCCTTATACGGAAATTTCAATGTTAATTGGAATGTTAACCCAGTTTGTTGTACAGGTGCTCATAACTATTGACTTGTACACTATACAAATATCTTCTGGACGCTGACTGGTGTAAACAAATTGACAAACATACAAAACGTGCAGTTGAAAATAAGACACACTCATCAAATTCTATTATTATTTATATACAAGTCACTAACTTCTTAACACTAAGATGGTGAGAGTTGGGGAAGCTAGTGATTATGAGTTTTTCTCTGTTTTCTCTAATAATTCGTTTGGCTTCCTTCTCTAATCATTTTCTTCGAGTTTGATCATCAGCTACAAGTTTAATGTAAACTTATGACTTCGTTTCATAATTAATAGCACAAAATATGATGACAATATTTTGAACTTTTGAGTTGAGGGTCCTTGTGCTGCAGATATAAACTATTTGATAAAAAAAGAGAATTCAGAGAGGAGAAATAAGAGAGATTGCTTTTATTTACTTCGAATTAGATGTATGCAGAATGATTTGAACAAAAAAAAAAAAGATGTATGCGCAATGTTTTGTACTATCATTAAATATTAATTAATAGTTTAATGAATTCAATGTATTTATACTAACATTGTCACATAGTATACGTACATTTTTCAGAATCAAAGTATGTTAATGAGGGGGGGGGGACAATATTGATGCATGTTTGATTCATGAATGTCATAATTAGGGTATTTTGAATTTCAAGGGTTAGGAAGTCTTGAGGGTGGGAACTGCAGTGTGTGTATTGATATTGATTAAAAATAATGCTAGGAATTAATAGTTTTTTACATTCTCTTTCATTTGTCTAGTTTAAGGAAAAACAAAGAAAGAAAGAAAAACCCAACAACTATGAGCTACACTTTTGCACTAAGTTTTTTTTTTTTTTTGCCTGATTTTGCACTAAGTTATTAGTCGCTTTAACTTAATAATTTCGGACACAGGTGGTTGAAGGACTTTAAAAACAGGCAAGTGAACGATAGCGACAACACACTACAAAATGCAGGAAATGAAATGCCCCTCAACTTGCTATATCCAATACTTGTCATTCCCACAACATTACCACAATAAGGGGACCATCCTCCTCTTTCTTAGAAATAAATGAGGCTTTCTTCACAAGTGAATGTAATTACTGCATTAACTCATTGTGGCATTAATGGAGTATCTCCTATTAATCCTTCCATGCGACCCATATAGAAAGTATGCCTTCAAGCAGTATCTGAATGTAATTGCTAACGAGTACAGATCATTAATAAATTGGTATAGTTGTATAAGATATAGAAGATGATAATGGAGTTTTCGATTTATGGGTCCCAAGGATTCAAATTTGGCAAAAGAGAAGGAAAAACGCCGGGTCTTATTACAAGTTACAAACCACCTTTAGCTTTTCATTTTAATCAATGCCTCCGCACTTTCAACCACAATTAGTCAAAACATGACAGTATGTGATAATTACATACCAAAGTCCTCAAATTTGTGATCTTTAACTTTAACTATCTTTAATCCAAAGAGGAACAACCTCAGATTAAGGTATGGGACCCCAAAGTACTTTTGGCTGAGATATGGTAATTATCATATGATCATATGGCCACCCCGGAAAGACAGAGAGTTTGAAAGAGACAGAGAGCATGGGATGCCGTGAGCAAAAAGATAGAGTTGAAAACTAGACAGGAAAAAAAAGTTATGACCCCTTTTTTATAGTACATGTTTTCTTATTTAACTTTATTGTTTTTGTCTTTGGTAACTTTAAGACAAAATTTGAGAATACACGACCTATAGCAGATTTAGGCTGTGTCAGCTCTCGAAGGAAGAGCCACCTGGAGAAAGCTTTTGCCTGTTCAGTGTTCACAGTAGAACGAACCACAAATGCTGCTCAGAGAAACCATTGACAAGACCAAGGTTTTATTTCACAAAACCTTCAGAAATGTCAAGTCTTTCTTGTGTGGAGGGTACCAAAGATCACCCAGATCCCTTTCCTTCAACCCTTTCACTTGCAGCAGCTGCTATGGAAGAACCTACAGAAGAGACCAATTCTACAATGAGTTCTATGATCATTTGCAGTCAGATCTAAGCATAATCAAGAGGGTTGATAGTGATGCCTTGCCTGGGTCCAAAGAGCCACCAGAAGATGGAGATGCTTCTTGTACTGGAAACTACATGAGTTTTGCCAAGCAAAGTGAACGAAAGAGCAAACATGAAGGACAAGTGAAACGAAAGACCAAAGGGAGCTATCGAGTTGGGAAGAAGGAAGATTTAAGTCATCATCAACACAAGAATGGAGGAGCTCAAGTTTTGGCACAGAAGATGAAGGAATTGGAGATGATAGATGCAGCTGATGTTGAGCAAGTTCTAGACATAGAAGAGGCACTTCACTATTATTCTCGTCTCAAAAGTCCTGTTTATTTAGACATTGTGGATAAGTTTTTCGTGGACATGCACTCAGAGTTCTCTGCTTCACAGCCCTCTGTCAGTAGGAAACCCTCAAAAGGAAGGCATCGCTCAATCAGGTTGTAGATTTGGTTTACCAAATTGCAAAAAATGTTCAGGTGTATATGGAATCTGTTTGATCTGTTTCACTATTTTGTGCTTCTTAATCTTCTCTTCCGAGTGTGCTGTGTGGTTGACCGGTTTCCTTTCAGTTCTGGCCATATAGAGATTTTTTTCCTTCTTTATCTTGTATCAATTGACTGCATGCTTGATCTTGTTCATCCAAGTACAACAAAATATTCAAATAGGCGTATGTCCCTATCTCGGTGGTCATTCTTTTTGGCCATATTCATTATCTTTAATTTCTCCCTTGTATGATTGAATTTTAATAGTCTTGCATTTCTTAGTAAACATTAACCTAATCCGAATCTTAAATACTGATACCGTGTGGCCTGTGAGACGATTTGCTGAGTTCTGCTAGTTTATTGAAGCATCAGAAAATGAGCGTTAAAAATTTTTAACATTGACATTACTCCAGAAACCTCAATTTTTCAAAGATGGAATTTGAATTCCATACATACAACACAAAAGAAGGAAAAAAATAGGGTGGATGGAGGAGGAAGAGGCATTTAGATGCTTCATATTTAGTGAGTGAATGAATCGTATATCTGATAATTGCAGAGTAGGTAGAAATAGAAGAAGTAACTCTCGTACATGCATTTTCTACTCTTAAATAGTACATAACCAGGAGGAAGAGAAGCTTCCCTTCTTGACAAAGTCATAGAGCTTTTGACCAATTGAACTGAATCTGACCCATAGGCTGTGTCAATGATATAATAGGATTTGGACTGTGTAATTCTGATGTATAGATCATTCCACTGCCATTAACTGCCAATCAGCATATAGACCATTCCTCTTGTTTGCAGTAGGTTATGGTGGTATAATGTACCAAAATCAGACCCATAGTGCTCGAAGTCCATAACTATTCCTGGAATCCTGGCTCTAAGTTCAAGAAGTTGAGCCTTTGTGGAGAGTAGGTTTTAGTGCTTTTGATGCTGAAGAGGGTGAGACATTTGTGTCATGACATTTGATCTTAACAGTTTGAGAAGTTCAATTTCTAGAGAAGGGTCTGGATCTTTTAGTTACAGCAAAATTATAGAGGAGGTTTTTGAAAATTTTGCTGTGGATTACCCCAATGTGTTGTGGACACCTGGATCAAAAGAAAGGACAGACATAAAGTCATCATTGATGCAGGAAAATAGAGAATTTGCAGAAGAACCATATATTTACATAGGCAGAAACTGAAGTAAATATCCCATCTGTATCCTGTGTCAGAAATAACCATATATTTGCATGGTAAGTGTCGTGTTTCAAATAATTGAATTTGACAGTGACAATCTCAGAGAAGAAAAAAATTGATTATTACACTCCACTTTTGTTATTACATATATACTTCACAAACTTTTCTTTTTCAATATTTCTTTAGAATTGACATTGTCATAAAATTTGAGAAGCTGACTTTACATAAGTAAAATGAAAAGCCGGTATTGTTATACCACAGAGATTCTTAACTAACCTTGAAGAGAATCAAAAGGAAAAAGGACTGGTAGCTAACCTCAGAGAGTAGCTGTCCTCTTTCACTAACTCATGGCAGAGTGAAAAAAGCTCATATGCTGCAGTGTAACTGTATCTTCTTCCAGTAAAAAGCAAGCAGAATGGTACGCCAACCTGAAATACACAGTTCTTAATATTACCATAACTGCACAGAAAGATATAAACAAAAAGTAAAACAAACAATATTACCAAAACTACACAATCTCTTGCAGCCAAGTATGTAAGCAAAATAAACGAAGAGAGGACATGCTTCGTCAAGGTCAGACTTGATGACTTTAAAGTATCATCTAGAGGGAGTGAATAGGTGATTTTAAAAATAACAACAATGAAAATAACTAAACCTTAAAGTATCAGCTAGATGAAAATGAAGTATATCAGTAAAGGGAAAGAACAGATAAGAGATAGAGGGATGGTTATAATGTATACAAGTGAAGAAACGTCGTCTTCGTGATTCACAGATAATGACAATGGGAGATTCAGAAACGAACCGAAGGTGGGTGGAAAAGAGAGGAGCTTGTGTGGGTTGTTGTCGAAGTCGATGTGACGAAGAAGGCATTATTGAAGCACCACGAAGCTCATCTTTGGCAAAAGGATTAAGTCGGCATCTTTTCTCGTGTGTGTTTAGTTTTTTTTTTTTTTTGGATTCCGGGCTCATTGGTTCTTGGGCAAAGATTTACTGGAACAGAGTTCGACTCTGAATGAGGGAGCCTGTAAAGCCGCAAAGGAGGTGAAGGAGCGACGACGAAGTGACGAATAATAA